AGTATTTGGATAAAATTTATCAGCGTTAATTTTATACAAAATATTTGAACGACACATACAATTTCAAACAGTTTTTAAACAAATTATTAAAGTCTTATAATTGAAATATTAAATTAGTTTCTAAAAATAATTTTAGAAGAGTGTATCCGATCAATTAACAATAATAACAGTAGTAGGTAGAACATTAGGCTGGTGTAACTGTGTAACGGTAAATCCGTGAAAAACATTTACTTATTCTTTACTAAATTTATTGTTTTTTCCTTCACTGTCACTTATGAATTACGATGTTCGAAGATATCCTTAATATAATTGTAGCCAATAGAACACAAATTATTTAAATTTCATATATTCGTAAATTCAACGTTTCCTTAAAATAATCTATAAATCACAAACTATGATAATGAAAATACTACTCTATTTTATACGTGTAATAAACAAAAACAACTGGAAAATATTCAAATATATTTATTATATACATAATTTTATGTTATTCTGAATTCGTATATCTGTTGTATTATTATTCTAGCGTGATTAAGTATCATTAACGAAATATCGCTATAGGGAGTAGAAAAATGCAACTTTTTTTACATTTTAACCTCTTAAACATTTTCTCATGAATATAATAAATTATTGATGATACACCTATTACATTTTTTATATTAGTTTTATATTGGTGCAAATTTGACTTTTAAGAATAATTTTGATTTAATTAAAAAGTATATATTTTATTGTTGTCAGTTTTGAATAGAAGTTATAAATAAATAAGTCTTATAGTTTAATAAATGTATTTTTTAATTGTGGAGTAAATACAAATGAAAAGTGGTTGTGTTATCATGTAAACCTGTAAAGTAATGTATCATTAATCATAACTTGTATTTTATGCTATCTGACCTCAATATTTCCATGTTGTCGATGATTGAATAATTTAAAATAAAATTAGATACGATATATTTACCTACTTACAATCTTCTACATATTTAATGCGGAGAGCCATTTTTACGTCCAACAATTATTTCCGAACGTAAGGGGTCAATTTTAATGAAAGCTTAAGGATATATTCGCAAAAATAACAAATATTAAATAACTCTTCTGGAGAATAAACTGACTCTTCTGTCATGATATAAAATATAGGTTATATTGAAAGTCTATCTTTAATATTAGTTTGCTTCATTACCACATTTTACCTGTAGCCTGAGGTACCTAATTTGTTTAAGCTTTGAATAATTGTATGCTTATTTATATTATAAACTTATTTCCGTAATTACTACATGGATGGGTACAACAATAATGCCCATATCAAAAATGGCCTCGGACAATGGTAAAAATGTAAAGGAGTGAATAGTAAAGGTGACGGCTCTGCTGAATAGTAGATGCCAAGGGGGTACTTTCAATGAGGAGTATGTCTCTGTAATGTATGTATTCAATTTGAATTCAATGATAAATCATAGAATAAGAAAATCGATTCTGAGCAGAAACTGTCTGTCTGTCTGATATAAGTTTATTATTCCACGGTGTGCCACCATTGGGTGACTTCTCCCTCCCGTCAATCAAACCACATCAAATTTACTTATTGTATAACGTGTAAATACGGATTGTAAATATACATTTTTGTTCAATAAAAAAAAAAAAGAAGTTTATAATACCTATAATATTGCTATTATAATATAGTCATTCATTTTACAATGAGGTAGATTGAATAATTTTTACCGATAACTTTGTATTTAAAATGTCATTGTGTGTTTATGTTATTTTTAAAATATAATAATATACGTTACAAGTTTCAAGAATCCACTAATAATATTTTTAAATTACAATAAAATAACTAAAAATCGTTATTATTCGTTAAGGTTATCAAATTTTGTTCAAATTTAAACTTAAATTATCTATGAAAAAAATATGGTGATATATAATTTTAGATTTTTAGGTTACAATATTATGAATTATTATTATGAGAAACATTGTATTGTATTTTCAAGCTTTTTGACCCAGAGAAAAATTTATGGGCAAATGTAAACTCCCCTAAAAATTTAAATAGTAAATTCCCCTAACAGTAAACTTCCCTAAAAACATTTTGCTACCGTATTACGCATACGTAAACTCCCCTAAACAAAATTAGAACCATTTAGAGTAACCAAGGGGACACCACGTGGAGGCGGTTCTAGTTATCCTCCAAAAATATTTTTTTTTCTTTATAGAAAAATTCAGCTCTTTAGAATAATTCATATTCATCGTCATTCTAGTTTTATTAAAATTATTAAGTGTTTATTGTAGATATTGTTGATGTTGATTATTTTTTGATTGAGTAATAATGTGAAATTGTTTTTATATAATGAAATTTAGTTATTTTTTGATCTTTATAATTTTGTATTAGTTGGTTTAATAATTGTTGTCGTCTTTTTAACTTATTATTAATATCTATACATTATATATTATATTATATCTTATATTAATATCTCAGCAAATATTTAATCATAATATCATAATATTTAATCATAATTATGCCCTTCCGACGTTGAAATTTTAATAAATAAATAGGTAGGTACACGTAGTTACTGTGTTTAAACAGTAAAATGTTTTTAGGGGAATCCACGTAAGTATAATACGGTAGCAAAATGTTTTTAGGGGAATTTACAAAAATTTAGGGGAGTTTACATATGCCTTTTGCTATGTAGTACAAAGAAATCGATTAACCGTTGATATTTAAAATTTCCACCAAATGTTTATATTATTATTTTTTATACATAGTTGGTATAATTTCCAAAACATGTTAACTCTTCTTGAGTTATTTACGATATTAGATATTTCCATAAAATATAAATATATTTATAGTCCTCACTTAGTCGTCTAATTAGAATCGTTTTTCATATTCCGTGATTTTATATCATTGAATTCAAATTTAACACATTCATTACATTGACCCACTCGACAAGTCGACTCCTACTGTATCTAGAGACTAGAGTAAAGAGTGGTTTTAATTTATTTACCTAATATACCTTGTACAGGTAAATTTTCCTTATTACATAATATATTATATTGTAATCATAATGGTTGTTTTTTTAATGAATAATATTATTTTGTAAGATAGAATTATTACCTATACACATTTTGTAATATGAAATACCGTGGATTAGTGATTACTTATTAGTTATTACATGCATACTACTATGTCTATGTAGTATTGAATTATCTTTCAAATTACAACACTAAATTAAAATTATGAAATTTTTGATTTTCTTTTTGTAGGAACCAAATTCTTTATTCGTAAAATTTTAACTCTTCGGATTACTCATTGATGCTTCGAAGATAACTATATCATTAATGATATTGATCCAAATATGTCAAATGACAGTAAAATAATGAATAGCTATTTATTTCAAACCAGTTATTTGTTATTTAGTATTCTTAAAAATGTACGTATTTGTAGATACGTATTAATTGCATATTTGATTACTCTAGCAGTCTAGCCTTACTGTAGGTACTATTTTATATTTTCGTGAAATTCATCTCTTGAAAAATGTATTATCGCCAGAGAATATTTTATTACATAATAATAATTTCAACTGTTAACGATGAAGCGTTTTATTTATTCAATTCAAATGTACCTAATAATTTATCTGCGTAACCACCAACCAAATACGTAAGAATAATTCTTTAGGTAGGTACGTACCTATTTATTGACAGGTACTCATAGAAACAGTCACAATGCTAATTAATAGTATTGTTATAAATTATAGTCATAAATAGTATAATATAAATTAATGAAATAACATTAATATTACGTTAACCTATAATATATATAATTTATGTATAGGTATAGTGCATAATGCATTAGTAAATTATGTAGGTACGCAAGATTTGAATTAAACATTTCAACTAATACACACAATACACAAATACAATGTACGATCGGTTTTATTAATAAAAAAAAAATATATCAGAGTTCTAACCGACTCGTATACTATAACTATTATACTATACTGTATATTATTATATTATATTTATAAAGAACTAATTAAAAAATATTAAAATGTATGATAATATATTAATATTATCTTAAATATAAGGTAAACGTATAGACGTATAGTCCATAGATTGGAATGTATAACCACACGCTTGTGTTACTAGATGATTTCTCCTTAGTTAACTTAGTGTAAATAATATGGGTTCTGGCTTATGATTACATTTAGTTGTTATAAAACCGCACAATATAATACATAGTAATAATAATGTTAGGCCTTATTATTAAGAATGCAAAAAAATATAAAACCATATAAAAGACAATTCTGCAACAATGATCATGACGTACAATATACTGCAAAATAGTTATAAATATTAATATATTTAACAGTACTACTATAATACTATGAGCTATATGGGCTATAGTATTATAGTATATTCTAACCTTATTCATTAGATTTTATTATATTACCTATGCCGTTTTGGTATTTTATCTCCCTCCTCAGGTCACCACGAATAAAGTAATCCTGTTCGCCGTTCGGTGAATATTGTCGTAGATTTACACTATAGACTATAGAGTTACTCTATGATATTCACTCATAGTATAAGCAATCCTATTTATACAATTTAGTATTCATATAATATTATATTATATAGTCGTTATGGGTGTCAGGTGATTTTTTTTCTTCTTTCCTTCGGTTAAAGCCCCGCCGACTTTCGTTTGCTTCTCCAATGGGGGGGTATCATTTAATATTTTAATATTAGACGCGGGTCTAGCACAATATTATAGATGTCACAGATAACATAAACTTTGGTTACTCATTAGTTAACTACAATATATTTATACCATTCAGTGCATGCCGTGTGTGTGTGTAAATACAAAGCTTTGTGGTGTATGTGTATGTGATATGGGCTATTCAGGTGTTGGTGTCGACGGTTGGTGTGAGGAGTAATAGCAGCCGGCACGTGGTATCGCCGCTGCACGCCGCGGGCCGGTCTGGTGGAGCGCCGTGCGACGGCACCGCCCGCCGTGGATTCGTTGTATGAAAGTGTCGAGCAGCAGCGGCAGAGTTTGTGGAGGAGGAGGCGGAGGCGGTGTTTGCAGCAACGGCGGCGGAGACGGCAACGACGCTGGAAACCGCGGTGACAGCGGCGGTGGCGGCGGCGGCGGTGCGCCCAACAACAACAACAACAACAACAACAACAGCAGCAGCACCAGCAGCACCAGCACCAGCACCAGCAGCCCTCCGTGCAGTGAGGGTGGCGGCGGCGGCGGCGGTGGTGGTGGTAGCGGCGGCCTGGTAGCTGGCGTGCTGGTCAGTGATCAGGGCGAAGTGATCAGCGACCGGTATGTGGGCGTGGCGAGGCAGTTCGCGTCGCGTCAAGCGTCCGAGCGTGGCTCGACCAAAGCTGACCAAAGCGACGGTAGTGACGACGAGACCACGCTCAGGCAGATGCTTGTGAGGTAAGCTACTACGCACCATCACCATAGTTGCATGCTTGCCGACTACTTGACAACGCCAACTACGCTGCTATTATAATCGTATATTATACATTTTACATAATATTATTATATCAATAATATTATATTGTATCCGTATAACTTCCATCCGTATTGTTAATTATTGTTCTATGACCATATTATCAATAGAAGCGATACTCTACGACCCATAATAATATTATGTATTATATTGTGTACAACTGTGTATATTATAATAATATATAGAGAAATAGACGGAGCCGATCGGTGTAATAATCCGACTAGTCTGTCCTTGAGAGCCTATATATAATGGGGAAATGAATTCAATTTAATCATACATTTTGAAGTATTGATTAGAACCTATTATAAAATATGATTTGTAAGACAGTTTTTAATTTTTGTATTTATGTATCTGACGGCTGATAGTGCTCTTAATGGTGGTACAAATTGGAGAGCATTAGATTATTTTCTGCTCTCTTATTATATACTATATCCATATAGGTCCTCTATTCTGTCCTAGTGATGTATAAGAGATAAGAGAACGTTCCCCTCTATCCCCGCCGGCGCTGATAGGTTCGGCCCGTGTTCAGTGACGTATTTAAGGGGGGTATTAGAGAGATATGTCTCCCCCCTTCACTTTTTTTTAGCATATATTTAATACATAAAATTACATTTATTAGATATGTAGGTACTGCCATTATGCATATATAGGTACTGAACTTAGATAATCATTTTTATCATATCATAGCTTTACGAGATCTCGTCACCTCAATTTTTTCAACTACTAGAGAAAAATCAAATGATCTGACTATGTCACTTTCGATACTTAACTGACTTCGACTTTGTGTCATCGAAGTTCGTAGTCGGTTTTTTATTAACTTCATTTTTGAAAATTATGGCTCCCTATTACAGTTGGACACTATCAAAACCAAATATATTCGCAGCACTTTAATATTAGGAAATTTACACTGCAAATTATTTTCCTCAATAATCCTGTATAAAAACATTTCCCATTGATCATTATCTTTACGCATTTCTATTTGTATTTTGCAAATGAACTGAACTGTATGAATTCAATATTCATTTCCAAGTGAAGATTCTAAATCATCAGGGTAAATACTAAGAAAATAATTTGCAGCAGATTGTAGCTCAGAAGTTTCAAATTGATTTAAAAAACGTTGACAATACAACAAAATCTCATTAAGTGGAAGCCCATTTCGTGGAGGCCCGCCCCCCCTTAAATCTGGCCCCGATGGTTATAGATAGTTATGTTTTTTCCATTTATCACTTTATTAGTAGGTGATAAGATGATGGGGCGTTTGGCATCAGTGAGGCTATAGATAAATAAAATAGATTTATTCATGTATTTCGAGTGGAGGGAGAATAACTGTTTTAATCATATCTCCCCTTTCAAATAAATATACGCCACTGCCCGTGTTTACTCCTACTGACCGTACTATTGCGCTATTGCAGTCGTATTATTACACACGTGGTACTGAAGTGTATAATTCAAACTTGCTAGGTGGACCCGTGTCAGATATAATTATACCAAAACACACGTCGATAAATGTAGTGTGGTGCCGTCAATATTATTTCTTTGTTATATAACCATCCAAGGCTAAGGTTCCGATCGACTTGTTCCGTTCTTCCGAATACTTCGCGCGAGTTAGCTCTTATGACTGCAGTCAGTTGCAACAGTACACATTATTATTATTGTAACTTTTAACTTAAAGATGATATCAACAATTCAGTAAAAGCACGTGAAACAATTACTTTTTCAGAAAGTGACGCTTCTATTAAATTTATATTTTATAAAAAACTAATAATGTCTAACAGTCATCCCAATCCAGCCTGCTCCTGTATGATGAATTTATGAATGTGTAATATGTAGGTACACATTAATATACAGGATGTTTCTGAAATGGTTGAGGTAACTAGTATAGGCGTACTCAGTGTGATGGCCCAATGAATATTTTTTTTCTATCTTCAAAATTTGGGTTTATACAAATTATTATTAGAACATTATCTTAAATGTAAAAATAAATGGTCTAGTTGTATTTTTTGCGAAATTCTCATACGAATCGAGGTGTCACATTATTTTTGCGCTTGTCACGCGTTTTTCACTCTCGAATCGCTGACTTAAAAAAAAATGGTGTGGCACATCGATTTCGATTTGTATGAGAATTTTGCAAAATATCTAACTTCACCATTTATTTTTACATTAAAGATAATGTTCTAAAAATAATTTGTATAAAACCAGATTTTGAAGATAGAAAAAAAATTTCAAAAAAAAATATTCTTTGGGCCATCATACTCAGTACGCCTATACTAGTTACCTCATCCATTTCAGTAACACCCTGTATAACAGAGATAAACAACTCAAATTTACTATATGAAGCCGATTTTCATAACTTTAAAATATAATGGGCTAGATTGCAAAAAACAGGGTAAATTAATAATTTAACTGCAGTTCAATACTAGATAAGAATTAATACCTATATTCTACTAATAACTTAATTTATAAAAACAGATAACTGATAAATGATAAAAAGTTATGAAGTACCTAATTAAAAAAGGTAGCTTGGACCAGGCGTTTTCGAAAATATTCTTATTTTTTTTTATTAATCTTGGTTATATCGGCTATACTAGGCCATTAATTATTAATTTACATTATATTTTATGCTTATATTAGGTTGTATAACTCGATTTCCTTTAAGGGGCCTGCTCGCGATTTTTCAAATTTTCCGCAATTCTATAAAATTTGAAAATTAAATTTTATATTTTAGTTGCCACCTCAATTATAAGACTTTTCCACTAATCTACTACCCAATACCTATTTAGGGGGGGTTGATAGGGTGTATTATATCGGTCAAAACACAGTTTACAGGAAAACCTCTCACACCTCGTAGATTGGTCCGATTTCCGTAATTTTTTTTTTGTTAGATAGAGGAATATTTTTTACAGGGCGCATTGGACTTCGATTTTTGATTACGTCGCTAAAAACAAAAAATAATACAAAAACTAAAAAGTTGTAAAAATTGATTAAATTCAAACTTGTAACATAAGATTTAGAAAAATAATGTTGAAAATCCAAGTCCAATGCGCCCTGTAAGAAGTCTTCTATCTAACAAAAAAAAATTACGGAAATCGGACCAATCTACGAGGCGTGAGAGTTTTTCCTGTAAGGCATGTTTTTGAGCAAAAAAACAGGTCGCGTGCAGGCCCCTTAAGAAGTTGATGATAATAATATTTCTTTGGAGGTCGTGTTGTAAAGTTTTATCCTAGTAGATGTGGTATGTGGTGTTTGTTTCTTGAGTCTTTGAACTTTGCTCATAATATTTTTTTTCATTTTTTTTTTTCATATGTTACCATTTTGATGACAACATGAATTTTTAATTCCTTATTGAAAACCAGAATTTATGTACTAAGGTTATTATCAAATAAAAAATGTTTAATTAAAAATTTTAAATCTAATTCAATTTTTTTAAATTTTCAACTAGTATCCTATTGTTTTATAAACTAACAAGATAAATTATGATAATGGTGTCCACCTAAATAGTAAAAGAATAAATAATAAAATATTTATAATTGGGATATAATATCTACGTTCTAAAAAATGTAGACTAAGAATTTTGTTCTTGATTTCGATATTTTAAAGTAACCTATATGACGTATAACCACTAGAAAAAAGTCATAAGGTACACCATAATATACAATAAACTTGTATATATATGTTTGGAAAGTTTTGTTATTTATTTGCAGTGTGTGAATTGTAGGTCCAACAAAAATTAAACATTTATCTAAAAATTTGGACGAATCTTCAAGTACTTATGAATTCATTCTTGGAATTTGAAATTCGTCTATACCTTTCAAATATAAAAAATAATTGTTTCTCCTGGTGTTTTTATTTTTATTTCATTGAGCCTGATATTATACAATAAAATATGGATATAATTTAGGTATTTCTTGAATTTTTCCGTTAACTTCCAATTTAGTGTGGGGATTTGTCATAACTTGTAAAGTCGTGAAAATTTGATTTAAAAATCCATTGTAAAAACAACAAATTGTTGAAACAATTAAAACATAATAAATCTATAAAAAAATATATATTCAAAGTTACTCAATAGACGTACACACCCTCCACCTTTATCTTCTTCAATGTGCAGCTATGCAAAATTTAATTCTTGACATTTTTAAATAAAATACTTAAACAGCGAAATTCACAAATTATTAAGATTTGTTTGTACGACAGGAGAGTCTTGTAGAGATACAAACTTCTGTTTTTCAAATGACAACCTCCATTGAATACAGTAAATTATTCATCCGATCATTTTTCTGAAAATGTTGACGTATCAAAATCGAAATTCAGACGAGTACTTACTTTTAGAGTTTATTTAATTTTGTACAGGGTTCAAAGTTAATAGGTCCATTATTATTTATGAAAATGGGTTTAAAAGATCTGGGACTATGGTATTTAAAAAGTTCTAGTATTTTATATTAATCTACCTATCTAAATTTATAATTTATAAAAATAGTCCAAGTATAATAAAGGTACTAACTAGGTCCTCAATAAAACAACTTGTTCAAATTTTGAATTAGATATGTAATTAATGTATACATAAACATTTTTTAAAAAAAAATTACCCTCTAAATAGTTCACAGTAAAAATGTGGGTTCTCATTTAAAAAACAGAAGTTATTGTTTGGCCACAGGACACTCCTCAGTAGTAGGTACAAAAAATGTCAAGAATTTTAATTCAATGTTAATTGAAAAAATGGGGGTGAGCATGTTCAGTGAATCTCCCAGTATATATACATGTTGTATATTTAAATTTAATTATTTCATAATTGATAGAACTTGTATGCTAAAAATGTTTTTAATATAATGTAGGTACATCGTACATTGTCTTATAACAATTTTTTCCAATATTTCTTATCTTTATGTGTGTAAGACCTTAGGGGTAAATACGTAATCTGGGGTAAATTCTTA